CGCAGAACCCTTAAGCTCCCAGGCCTCTGGTAGATGATCCGATCTTGAAGGCGATACCAACCCAGTGGGCGAGGAAATATTTTTTATTGACTGATTTATTTATTTATATGAGTGGTAGGCAGTAAGTTTTAAATCTGGCCATTCAGTGAATATTTCGTGACCCCACCCACCTGGATGTTGCACATACAGCACATTTGACAATAAAGTTGTACTTGACTTGACGAAAGAACACCATCACGTCACAAAATAACGTACAAAAAAAACACTAGATATCTTTGGCTGCGTTTACACTCCAGAAGTGTGTTCCTCAACTGTCACTAAAAACAACTTTGCAAATTGTACAGTATTTGTTTCAGGCACTCTTACCCACACGCACTGCATACATACAGTGTTGGGCATTTTACTTTAAAAAAGTAATTCACTGGTTAAAAATTACATTTTCAAAAAAGTAATTAACTCTGTTACAGCCTTGTAAAAGCAATTAATTACTTGGCAAAATAGTTATGATTTTTTTTTTTCCGATGATGTTTTTTCTATCTAGTGAAAACATTTATGGAAGGCTGAATGAACATACATTAGTACATTTAGCATTTATCTTAACTCCACAGATTGCCGATTCCAACTCGCCACATGCAAAAATTAAAAAAATGTATTTATCCATTAATCCATCCATTTTCGGTCCGCTTTATCCTCACAAGAGTCGCGGGGGGTACTGGAGCCCATCCCAGCCGTCTTCGGGCGGTAGGCGGGTGAGACCCTGGACCGGTTGCCAGCCAATCACAGGGCACACAGAGACGAACAACCATCCGCGCTCACACTCACACCAAGGGACAATTTAGAATGTTCAATCAGGCTGCGGAGTACCTGGATGCATTGTGGGAGGAAACCGGAGTACCTGGAGAAAACCCACGCAGGCACGGGGAGAGACATGCAAACTCCAGAGATGAAAGTGGACTTTTCTGAAAATTCCGGAAAAAAAAAACACACGCACTTGGCCGATCACACATGAATTAGTTTACACAAAACGCTATTCAAATACTCGACATTCAATGATTAATCTTCCTTTTGTGTGCACACGTGTACCCTTTGTGGCTTCCGTTCGGGCCGAAATTTCGAAATCTCCAAGATATGGCGAGGCCATGAGAATGCGAGGCGAGGGTATGACTGTTGT